ACCGCGTAAAGTGAGGGTTGACTGTAGTGTTAGGACAGGCCAGGAATCCAATGCTCTGTTTGTTCATTTGAGGGATAACAAGCATTGCATTGACTGGGATAATGCCTCCTCAATATTACCTTGTAATTCAATTGATAGTAGGAACATCATAGAATCTAGTCTCATTAAGCATAACGATGCATTCAACATGAATTTGAGTAATGGCATGTACAAACTGGACAATTTTGTAATTAAGAAGATTTGTAACCAGGTGAGAAGGTTGGATCACCTTACCTTGACCTGACTACCACTGTTGCCGTGTTATTTAAAAATTAGTAGGGTCATAACCTAATACCTGACCATTGTGACCTGATCTCACCCTCCTATGTATATATACACCTTGTTTTGTACTCCTTTTAGTTTGTACTCACCCTGAAGATGTGAATTACACGAAGCGCTTTGGGAACTTCGTGTTTTCCTCTTCCTTGTGTTATCAGCAATATATATATATATATATATATATATATATATATATATATATATATATATATATATATATATATATATATATATATATATATATATATACACACACACACACAGTATTACCGCCTAACGCTGTCACTTAACGCTGCTTTATCATATACTGTGCCTCGCCAGAGCTGAACTTTCACTTAATGCGAATTTCATCATATACGCGAGCGCTGGGCACGATGCGCACAAGGTCGCCCAGTCATCAAAACATTACCGAAGTTCTTCACCCGCCACCCACCACAGCCGCCCAAGTCAGTGATAGTGATAATTATAGTGAGGATATGGACTTATGGCCTTTGAGGGGTTTGACAAAGAGGCCCTGCAAGCCTCTGTGGTGGATAGTGATACAATTGATACAAGTGATACAGGTGAGGGCCAATAATCTGCCCTCTGCTCCAGAACCAACCCCCATCCCCCCGTGTGCCCAGCCATCTTTTCTACTAATGCAAGTGTTAAAACCTAATATTATTGATATTTCTTAATTATTAATTGTGTGTGCATACCATCATAAAGTTAAGATAATTTTTACTACAACATAGTTGTGTGTCGTCAAAAAGTAGTTTGGGGGTCGGGCCAGTCTCATTGGAATTAATCCCATATGTTCTGTTGTTCACTTAGCGGTTTTCACTTAACGCGTACCCTGTGGGTTCAATGACCGGGGTATTACTGTATATATATATATGTTGTATATATATATATATATATATATATATATATATACATATATATATATATATATATATATATATATATATATATATATATATATATATATATATATATATATATATATATATATATATATATATATATATATATATATATATATATATATAGGCTATATATATATATATATATATATAGGCTATATATATATATATATATATATATATATATATATATATATATATATATATATATATATATATATATATATATATATATATATATATATATATATATATATATATATATATATATATATATATATATATATATATATATATATATATATATATATATATATATATATATATATATATATATATATATATATATATATATATGTATATATGTATGTATGTATATAAAATGTCAGACTAAACTTGGAATATAACTTGCATTGCTGGAATCCTTGCAAGATAGTGAATAATTTGAGTTATAAACATCACATAGTTTGAACAAGGGATAAAAAATTTTGTCCTTTGGTGTAGTACAGGTACATTTGAGTACAAAGTGAGTACAGTAATACAGTATGTTGCTCAAAATTATGGATTTTTCACAGGAAAAGGTCTGTATAACTAACCCCAGTGGTAAGGTTAATATGTACTGTTTTTTTTTTTTTTTTTATTTAACATTTTTATGCATATACTGTAGTACATTCCCTGGAAGATTCTGATAAACAGCTTTGTCGGACGGGTACACCCACGGAGAGACCTAATCAAACAAGAATAAATAGATGTAACAGACTTCAATGCGTGAAGGATGAGGTTCTATGGTAGAGAGACAGTTTGCCAACAAGGAGGTGACCTTTACCTCTGACACGATTGACCACCACTCGTGACCCCAATTGGACTTACCGAACCTTAGTTAATTCCCAAGTGACCCACTGCCACATAGCAGTTAATCCATCAAACGGATTGCACCGAGCTTGTGTGTGAAGATTATTCTTTTAATAAATATTGCTTTACTCACCATAAACTGGCTGCATCTATCTGAACCCCGGGCCACATAAAATAGAATTTCTCCATCAATTCGCAGGAAGCACAACAAGTTTCGGGCTGCACCACGGGTTGCCCATGCCTGATGTACATAATGCTGATAATGAGATACTTGCCAGTCCCAGTATGATAGCTAAAAATTGCTATTCAAGTCTCTCATTCATTCATTCTTAGTTGTAAAAGATGTGTACTGTACTGCTGTGGCATTTCCATCCCTATCAAGGCCCTACATACAGTAATTTGTTTAACATGTCACATCACATTAATCATTGAATACACCTCTTTCCCCCAAAATCAGTCAAAATGTCATGCTGTCCACTTTCTTTTGTGCTGCTGCTTTCTGGGTGTTCATCCCTTCACTTCTTTTTACATCTCCTTGGCTTTCCTCACCATCCTAGATTATACAATTTTTTTTTTCAATATATTTAAACTGCCTAAGTCAGGGGTGGCCAACCTTTTGTGTGATGTGATCTACTTTTTCCACAGTTACCCTGACGCGATCTACCAGCTTAATATTCACCCATTGCCATAAAATACGCAGATTCGTAGAGAAAGAGGGTAAACAAATAATATTTTTCAATAATTATGATATATTGTTAACATGAGAAAATCATACTTACTTTACTAATGAGATGGTTAGTACTGCATGTTGTCTGCCAGCTTTGTGTAATTAGGACTGTAGGCAGTGACTGCTAGCCTCAAGTAAGCATCCAGGTGTTCATCTGACATTGTTGATTGGTATTTGATGTGTTTCATGTGTGAAAATGTTGATTCACAAAGGTAGGTTGATCCAAAAAATGCTGTGAGGTACATGGCACATTTTCTGACATTGGGATATTTTACTTCGCTGAGAAGGTTCCAGAAACTTCCTCCAGTTGCCCTGGATTTGATCTGAGTATCATTTTTAAGCTTCAGAAGCTCATTTTCGACTTCAGATATGTCCATGTTAAATACTGATTCCATTCTAGATGCAATATCTTCAACATTTGTGATTTTACCAAATGGAAAACACATACATGTTGCAACAGGTTCTATTGTTTCTATATATTGAAACCGTCTGTCAAAATATGAGACAAGGTTTTGCACATGTTCAATATATCGAGCACTGCCAAACTGGTCAGTCTTTTCCTTGGTTTTCTAGTTCAGACATCATATTTCTGAAGTTTCGTAGTTGATGTTGATGCAGCTGCAAAGACACTAGTTTTAGTTTCTGCTTAAAAGCAGCCACAGGACTAATCATGTCAACTACAGTTTTATCTTTCCCTTGCAGATCTAAGTTTAGTTTATTCAGCATAGCAGTCATGTCATCTAAAAAAGCTAAATCTAACAGCCACACTTCGTTGTGATCAAAAGGTCAATCTTTTGAGGCCAAAAAAGAAGTTAGGAAACCTATCATCACTCCTGCACAGGGCAATGAACCCACTGATTCGGCCAGCCATTGCCAGCCATCAGTATTTTTAGATACGAGCTTACTTACTGGAAACTGTGTACTATTAACAAAATCACTGAAAGTCTGAAATATGTCTTCATCCCAAGTTTTTCCTTTAAATGGTAGAATTTTCGGCAGTTCCTTTTTGGTACTCATGCCTTAAACACCATTCTCATGAAAATGCATGATTGTGATGTAGCGACCACATCAGTAGACTCATCAAATTGTAATGAAAAGAACACACTCATGTATGTCTTTATTCAGTTGTTCACACAAATCCTCAGCCATAAATTAACAGCGCCTCATGACAGTGTTTCTTGATAACTGAACATCCTTAATAGAAGAAAGTATTTCAGACATATTTTTGAAATTTTCAAACAACGAATATGCTGCTTCTAAAGAGGCCCGTATGAACTCGAACACTTCCTATCAGGTTCCACCACACACAGCATAGCACAGTCCAGTCGAAGTTTTTTTTTGTATGTATCGCTCTGATGTGTCCATAATGATAATCTATTCCCAGAAAAAAATCTAAACAAATAGGATATCCCAATGATTATGAGTAAAATTTGATGAGGATTTTTGTTTGGCAGCTTAAGAAGGATGGATCATTAAGTTTAACTTTGCCATGCGATCGACTAAGAAGATCTTGCGATCGACAGGTTGGCCGTGTGCTGTGTCCACCACTGTTCATTTCCATGTCTCCTTAATTCTGCAAGTGATATTTTATAAATCTTATATTCTTGGTTGCCTGAAACAAATATTTGCCAAGAAAATGACACAAGACTTGACTGAAATACCCAAATTTGCAAGGAAAATGACACCAACTTATTTAGTCCTGGATGCCTGAAACAAATTTGCCATGAATATGACACTAAGCCTACAATCTTGGGTGCCTGAAACACTTTAATTTGCTGGGAAAATGACACCAAAGCTATGAATATTGGGTGCCTGAAACGTAAATTTTGTGGGAAAATGACACCCAAATTTGCTGGGAAAAATTGCACCAAAGCTATTATAATCTTGGGTCCCTGAAACTTAAATTTGCCAGGAAAATGATACCAAGGCTAGACTTGGTTGCCTGAAGCACCCAAATTTACTGGGAAAGTGACACCAAGGGTGTCTGAAACACGGATATTTGCTGGGAAACACAAATTTTCCAGGCAATGACACTAAGGCTAGTCTTCGGTGCCTGAAACGCCCAAATTTGCCAAACTTCATCACGACCTTTACTAGCCATTCTTTGGCTTGCACGCAACTGTTACTAACTGTGGCGAGCATTCCACCACTGCAATGGTGGACTAGATATGTCTTGAAATGAGGAAAACAAAAACAAATAAAATCTCAAACTTTACTTCAAAGGGAATAGTTGCAGCTGTTAGCCACATTACAAAAGCTTGAAATACAAGATTATATGCAAGACCATGCTCAAACGCACTGTATTTCGATTTTTCAGAATTGTTATTTTCACAGTAGAGCCGCATTACCATATGGCAGTTTTCAGAACAATGTGGAAGTACTATTGTGATTAATAACAATTAAAATAGTTGAGGTTTACTAGTGACTAATTATGTAAGGTTGTCTCCACTATATACTAATTCTTAATGGGAATATTGTGAGATAAACACATATACAAGGGTTTTCACATCTAGCAGGAGATGACATGAATTAATGCTCAAGTAAATTAGTACTGTACATAAGAAAAATGTGTAAGAAAGTGAAAACAACATTGGGAATTAATCTAACATTAACTTGTGAGCAGTAAAAATATGAGATTGCTGTAGATCTAATTCACATTGACACACTCGCCAAGAAAAGTAAAGATATTATAAACAAATTTATGGTAAAGAAAAATGCAAATTATTAAGGTAAAATTTCCTGGAAAATGTATTTACACCCACCTCTGCCTTATATATACAGGGTAGTATTAAAAATCAGCAAACCCAATAAACTTAATTACCTTAAAACCTCCCAACATTCCTTCATATATTCTCCTATTTATTACATCAACTCGAACACCTTCTTTATTGTGTTTGATTTCAAACCTCTCCATACCAACAAATTTTTCCAACCACTTCTCTTAATCTGTTGTGATTAAAATACACTTCACTCTTGACACTCCAATAATCAATACACTGTACACGGCTTATAATTTTGGTTTTACAATTATATTCATTATCTTAATTCTGCTTGGTGCATGATGTTGAAATAATTCTGTGACCCTCACAGTAAGGTTACTCTTATCATTAATTTTCTTTGTTCCCTTTTGCACTTTTCTCTTCTGTATTGCTACTACTGTTACTATTGTCTAACATTTAGTGCCAAATTTTCTTTAAAAGCTTTTCTGAAGCAAATGCCAAAATATTTATAGAGTAGTAACACCTATTTTTCAGGTTAAGAGCCTTTATTTTTTCTATACCACAGACTCATTCCCAAAAGTTTTCCTGCAAAACAGGTACAGTACATAAGTACTTTTCATCAAATATGATTATGTACTGTATTTAGTTACCATAATACAGTATAAGTTACCAACCTTTTTATGGATCTACAATAAGTGAAAAAAATAATAAGTACAGTATGTATTCAACCTGATACTGTATAATTTGCACTCCCAATTATCACAACACCCTTCTTAGCACCTAGTATACAATATATAATCAGGAAATTTATCTTTATTATTCCTCACATTCTGCCCAAGCCTCCTCAGCCAGCATATAATATTTGGAGGCCAGTTTACCCTTCATGGCTTTTGTTGCCAATTCTGCTGCCCAACTAAACAATTCACCTGCAAAGTAAAGAAACATTTAGGTTAGGTTAGATTTGTGCTACATATATTTCAAATATCAATAGTAAACTAATTTTTTTTTAATCAAGGTGGAAGAGTTGTGGCATACAAAACATACATACTGTATTGTAGAGTACTGTGCGTGCAAAATTTCTGTAGTGCAATCAACTATATGAGTTCTGTTATTTAAGAATTTTGAATGCAAAATCAAATACAGGTTGAACCCCTCTAATCTGTGCTGCAACAACTTCTGTGGTCTGGCATTTGTGATAGATGGTTATATGATTGATTTTGATAAGGCAATGATATATTGGGGAAATTTTTTTATGAGGATGTGAATTGGGCGTAACGTGATTGAGTAAATAACTTTGTCATGCAAGTAGGAATAAGAGGTTGTGTGGCTGCTTTGGCAGTGTCACACAAGGCATGATGTTGGCAGCAATTTTTTTAATGAAAAATCCATTTGTAAAGAATGAAAATGATTTGGTAATAACCCTGAATAAATTCATTATCATAAGGGGTGAACTTGAAGGTGGGCAGTGACGATTTCCCTACCCCGTATGATGACTGAATTATTACCGATTCGGTGTAAACAACAACATATACACTTCAATTATGCTGTATAAAGGTAAGTTACAGTATTTAGCTAATTGCAGTATTCCTAAATAATTTTTTTTTTAATATACTATATGCTAAAAAAATTCTTAATGAAACACTCGATATGGTAATGACTTGAGAGATTTGGTATTGACAGGAATATCATACTTGGCAACCCCAATTACATTACCCTACATGTCTTGGTCTTTTTCCAGCCTGCATATGCATCACAAGTGTTATCGTGGCCTGTTCTTTAGCCTATATTATTCGACTCGCAAAATTTTTTGTATAGGTTTTTTTACATTTCTTATGGCTACATTTGTTTTTTATTTATAGAAGTTTTTTCATTAAAAGTTGTTAAGTGAGTCACTCCAATAATTTCATAATTTTCACTCTTCACGACTACATTTCTATCACTAAGCAATATACTGTACAGTTGACTAACATGATATAATAGGGATTTTCCCCCTTTTCATGTTTTTATTCTATTAGTGAATGAATTATCAAACTTCAACAGAGTTATTATAAAAGAACACAACAATTCACAATAATATAAGAAATTAAAAAAAAAAATTGTTAAGTCATGTTGGTATTCTTAAAATACAGTAAAGTCCCCAAGTACTGTACCGGACTAATTAAGCCGAGGGAGGCACAACTGTTCAAAACAACAGTCATCATATTACCGGAACACAGTTTGGCTTATCATAAATTAATTCAAGTAAATACTCATTGTGTGCTTAACTGAAGCACAAGTGCATGGGTGACAGGTTGAAGATCAGCTGGTGAGAAGCACTTGGCAACACACCCAGTACGTGTTACCACTCCCTTCCACTACACCGTTTTAATCACCCCCACCTTTCTGCTTTCTCACTTCATATTTTAAAATGCTCTAACATAATGTTGAAGGGATACAATGTTGCTCATTTATACTTACACTCAATTTTTTTTTAGTAGATATCAGCTGTTTAAAGAAACGGATAGATGCATCACCCCATCACCACCACACCCTTCATCACCACTATCTTTATTATCACCAGCTAAATCATAATTTCAGTGATGCAGGTTTAGCCAGAGCGGAGCAGTACAATTATCCACTGCCTCCTGCCTCCCTCCCACCCACTGTCTCTCTCTCTCACTCATTCTACTACAACTGTCATTACTATTCATCAAACAACAATATTGTTAATGTGTTATTCATTAATTAATAAATACACGACTGTAATAATCTGTGTTTAATAATTAATAGCTGTACCCTTCACATACATATCCTATAGGTAAAAAATGATATCTGTAACGCATTTTCCATATATGCAATGGTACTGTATAATGATCCCGTAGAGTGCCGTTTCAGATAACGCTCTATTATCCAGGAACGTATCGTTTGCGCTAACTGGGGGTATTACTGTATTTGTCTGAAATTATTAAATATTATTGTAGTGCAAAGTATAATGTGTCTCCACATGCCCTAGATTATTCACTGATCAGTTGTGTAAGTGTGCAAGTAACCAAATCAAACCACTATGTATTAATCAAAGGCAAAAAATAACTGTTCTGAACATAATTCCATATCAAATACTGTACGGTATGTTATAATAACCTCATTGAAAGCTCTCTCCAGGAACATATGCTGAGCTTTCAAGGGGTATTACTGCACATGTTGGAATGCATATACAGTCTGCCCTTAACATACGCGGGTTTAGCATACACGGATTTGCAAATACGCGGATTGCTCCGCCAGAGGAATATTCTGTACATTGAAGTAATTGAAGTACATTCAACTCGTGCGGCACCGAACACGGGACACCGCCCGCTCCCGCAACCTCACACACACACGCATAGCTCTCCCTCACTCAGTCAGTCTCGCTGCAACCACGCTTGTGTTGACATCAGCATTGTAGTTGCAAAAATATTACATTTCCATGAATGTATTATATCAAGCACAGTATGAATAGAATATCACTAATATAAGAGTATTTTAACCGAAAACTACTAAAAAAACGAGTAACATATCTTGAACATCGGAAGGTTAGGTAAAGTCTTTTGTTTTCATGTAGTTTATCCTTATTTACATTGAAATGCATTACGTTTCAGCAAAACTACTATTTATTTCTGAGAATATGGAAATGTAATATTTTGCTGAAATGACGTACGTATTACAGTGGAAAGTGACGAAAGCAATGACTCGCTTTCTTTCGTTCAAAAGATGTTACCGTAATCGCTTTTCGAATGGTTTTCAGTTAAAAAACTGTTGTATTACAATAATATTCTATCCTAATTCACTTGTGATGCAACAGTTTTTTTAACTGAAAACCATTCGAAAAGCGATTACGGTAACATCTTTTGAACGAAAGAAAGCGAAAGTCATTGTTTTCGTCACGATTTTATCCCACTTTCCACTGTAATACATACGTCATTTCAGCAAAAATATTACATTTCTGTGAATGTAGTATATCAAGCACAGTATGAATAGAATATCATTGTAATATAACAGTATTTTAACCGAAAACTATTAAAAAAACGAGTAACATCTCTTGAACATTGGAAGATTAGGTAAAGTCTTTTGTTTTCGTCATGTATTTTATCCTATTTTACATTGAAATACATCACGTTTCAGCAAAACTACTATTTATTTCTGAGAATATACTCATTCAGGCACAGTTTAGGTAAAATATACATGTGCTGTAACATTTTTTTAATTGAAAACGATTCGAAAAACACGTATCCTCTAGCCCTGTTCAAGGAGAAGACTGGGAGGAGCTGTTTGGTGCTTAAGACGATGACAAGGAAACTGATTTTGATGGATTTTAATGAAAATATTCAGAAAGACCCTGGCACTGTCAAGGAAAGTGGCTGCTGAAGGCTTCCAGGACATGGCAGAGGACGAGATTAGGGAGCTAATTGAAGAGCACGACACTGAGCTGACTGAGGAGGATCTACAGGAGTTAGTAGACTCAGGCAAGGAAGAGGAAGCGAAAGGGGAAGAGGAAGAGCACCAAGAAATAACGTTGGAGAAGTTGGGGGAGATGACCAGGAATATTGAGGCACTGAAAAACCTGGCCTATAGTATGGACCCCTCCATGGTGCGTGCCCTGAAATTCATGCGAGGGGTGGATGACGTTTTTGCTCCATACAAAAACATCATGGAAGAAATTAAAAGAAAGAGACGACAAGTCCCCATCACCATGTTCTTTGATCACCGAAGGAGAGATTTAACACCATCAATCACTGGCAGCAGTGAGGAAGCAGCTGAATCCACCGTCGCCCCCACTTCACCACCCGTTATGGAATTGAGTGACGATGAGCCCGATGACCCCCGTCCTGTCGCCGAGGATAGGTACTGTACAGTAAAGTGAAATTTTTTTTCTCTTTTTTTTTAATAGCTTTTCTTGCCATGTTTATTGTTTGTAAAAATGCACAGCACAGTACAGTTCAGTACTGTACATAGGAAGTGGAGGTGCAGTTATTCACAAAACATTTGTGTTTGTTGTCGGCAGTAGTGACGGTCAGGAGGTGGAGGAGGCGGAGGAGGGAGCGAGTTGGGAGAAGTGGTGACCTTGGACGTGGGAGGAGGGACAAGTGGAGATGCCAGCCAGTACATTACAGGTGTATTAATTGTTTTTATAGCTATTTTTGCATTTTAATATTAAATACTGTACATTACGTTTCAACGAAACTACCATTTATTTCTGAGAACATGGAAATGTAATATTTTTGCTGAAATGATGTACATATTACAGTGGAAAGTGGGATAAAATTGTGACGAAAGCAATGACTTTCTCTTTCTTTCGTTCAAAAGATGTTACCGTAATCGCTTTTTGAATGGTTTTCAGTTGTGGGATTATAAGGCTAATGATAGGATAGAATATTATTGTAATACAGTACGAGTACAACAGTTTTTTAACTGAAAACCATTCGAAAAGCGATTACGGTAAAATCCTTTGAATAACGAAAGAAAGCGAAAGTCATTGTTTTCGTCATGATTTTATCCCACTTTCCACTGTAATATGTACGTCATTCCAGCAAAATATTATATTTTCATATTTATTTCTGAGAATACGTATATTCATTCAGTCACAGTTAAGGTAAAATATAATTGTGATGTAATATTTTAATGAAAATATGGTATCGTAGTTTCCTTTTGTTTCAAATTTAATTAACAAAGATTGATGTTTGAAATGTAATGAACAAAAATTTATGTCCAGTATCTAAAAATAAACTTTAATAAATGAATACTTTATGTTTTACATCGTCCTGTGCTACCATACCATGGATTTGGCTACAGTACTTTGGGCTTGCTTTGATGACGCAAGAGATCTGCTCTGGCAACTGTACCAACACTCACAGCTGGTGGTGCGTTGGTGCATCGTTTCCATTGTTTACTGGTAGTTACTGGTAAATATTTT